GGTCCTGACCCCCCAAAAAAAAAAAAAAAGAAAATTTAAGATAGATCGTTTTACCTAAAAGAAGGGCCTCAATGTGTAATGATGTTGAAAGAATATGTTTGTAATAAAGCCATAAGGAAAATGCTTATATTTAGTTTAAAAAAACGAGTGTGGCCATATATAACATAAGAGCATTTCTTTTGTTGAGGTAGGCCAATTTCCTCTAAAAATTGCACATTTTAGGGAGTTTTGATCAATTCCTACGAAATTAGAAATAAAAACACAAAAAATTTTCGCGCGCATTTGTTAGGGTTAAAGCTTGTGATTGTCCTCCTTTACCTTCTAAGTTATTTAAAATCCTAATAGTCCCAAACTGGAGAAAGAAAATTTAAGATAGATCATTTTACCTAAAAGAAGGGCCTCAATGTGTAATGATGGTGAAAGAATATGCCTATGATTGTAATAAATAAAACCACGATGAAAATGCTTATAGTTTCAAACACACGTGTGTGGCCTATATTAATAATAAAATAAGCCCTATGTCGTATTGTTTTCTATATGGGGGGTGGGGGGTATCACACCAAGTCATAAATTACTAACCGGGAAAATTATTACCTTTGCCCCCCACGCGCCTTCTTATAAGTGGGGCCCCCCACTTTGAAAAACTTTCCGCCGTCCCTGGACCGTACAACATGTTAATAACAAAAACCGACCCGGATTCGAGAGATAGAGGATAGGCCCTAGGCCTAGGAGGTATGCTAACTACACCTGAGCCTAGGCCCCTAGGTCCGGCCTATCTGTGATCGACATCATAGGCTAGGGTCGGCTGCGGCTAGGCCAGAGCCTGTGCCTATAGGCCTGTGTAGAGCTAGCCGGCATGGTTAGGTTATATCATGGCTTGTGCCCAGGTGTATCTTTATTTTTACCCCATCGACTTCTAAAACATGCCATTTATTGCTGATGTTTTGTGCCAATAAACTACAATATATCAGTATAATGCAATGGGTACTCCGAAGAGGTATGGGAACATGATTGTCACCCATTTTGTTGAACGTCAGAAGTACCAAAGATAATAAATAGGTAGTGGCTATCGGCACTGCCGCAGTGCCAAAAAAAGCTGCTGTTTTCTATCGGCACTGCCGCAGTGCCAAAAAGCTGCCGTTTTCTATCGGCACTGCCGCAGTGCCAAAAAGTTGCTGTTTTCTA